ACGTTACGTCGTTGACCTCTGCTCCTCTGAATCATCCTCCTAATTGCCGGAGGCCTCAGCAGTGTGGAGCTAAAGGGCCTCTTCTGTTTGGGCGTTCAGCTTCATTAACTTAAGAGAAAACTTTCTTAGAAAGAGATCCGTTTTTTACCCCTCCACCGTTTCATTGCGTTTTAAAGACAAAGTCTTCAAATTTGGCGTCCCCGATTTCTGTCCGTCTAATCCGAACACCAAACGCGGCCCCTTGTTGAATTCCGAATTATTGTTCACGTTCCCGTGCAATGCTTTAGTCACACAAGAGGCGAGGCAAACCCCCCTGTCTTAACAAATGCTCCGGCAGCAGGCCGACGGGGACTGCAAAGCGTGTCCAATCAAATGTCAAAAGAGCAGCGAGGCAACACCAAACTATCTCCTGACTTTCTTTTCTTCAATCTTCTCCAGTTGTGCTCTGAAACGACAGAGTTGCTCTGTGGGTTTTCAGATAAGGCGAACCAGCAGACAAACGTGGGAAACCCATCGACGGCTATGACAGCCGTCCGGCGTCCACGTCGCTCAATGCACGTTGACATCTGCCGCAGCCTCTAGATGTGGGTTTTTGTTGTGTCTCTTGGAGATGGTATCATGTTCGATTGTTTCTTCATATCAAGGAGAAGGGAAAACAGTGAGTGTGAGATTATCGCCCCTTGAGGAGATTTAAGGTTTAAAACGCTGCTCAGTCCTTCAGGATCAGATGAAATGCTTGGAGCTGAGCCTTTTGAGACGGCACAGCGCAATCTCTTTGTTATGCGTTTCATTGGTAGGGGCCAATTATCGCATCAGTGCCAGATTGTATCGTTTCAGATCAGACCTGTTTTCTGTGTTTGACATGTGAGATTAAAATCCCACAGTGCCTGCCTCAAACAGAAGATACCGGATCTCCAAGGAAATAAGCATTGAGGATAAATAAATCTGTGCAGATGACGGTGAAGCATCTTCCTTGGTGTATCCTGCACCAAAACGGTCTTCCTCGCCTGTTTTCCCCTCAGGCGATTACACCTCCAGGTCTCTGGAGGAGCCAGCTGTTTCTCAGCCTTGGGACATGTTATCATCACCTCCTTTACGACCCGGTTTCCCCAAGTTCTCGCAGAAAGTCTCGCAAATTTCACCTGTTCACCCTTCACGGTCCTGGAGGAAAGAAAGGATCTGTTGAAAGACGTCTGCACTCGTTTGACTCGTGCAGCACACAAGGACGTGTTCGTGCGTTACTATGCAAAACTGCAAATACCGTAAGGGTACAACAGTGACGTGTCGGGCTGGAGTTGTGAAAGCGGTTGTGATTTTGGTTTGGGGGAAAGCGCTTAGCAGAAGTTGAATTTATAGGACCGTAATTACTCCTTCATGAGACCCAGCCAGCGGGCTGTCATGTACTTCTATAAAGAAATTAAGACAGCTTGTGCCATATTCTAATTAGGAGCAAGCCCTTGCTGAAGCTATTTATAATTTATTCTATTTTAATAAACCTGCTGCACTCACACTATGAAGGCCTCAAACTGAATAAGAGTGCACCATTGGTAAAATTCATAAATAAACGAAGGAAAGCCGCGGTGGCTGAACTGTAGAGATCAACTGTCAGAGCCTAGTGATTAGCAGAGCTCACTCCTCATCAAAATGTTTGACCAAGACTTGAACTGTGTTGGCCAGAGTGAGTGTGTGTGTGTGTGTGTGTGTGTGTGTGTGTGTGTGTGTGTGTGTGTGTGTGTGTGTGTGTGAACTGAAATTCTTGTTGCTCCAGGCTGATCCGAGTGTGCTGGGGTCCAAACATTTGTATCTGTTGACTCTGTTCTGCAAAAGTGGAACAGAAACGTTGTGTAATGAGCTGACAGTTCACAAAGACATGTTGCAACTCATATAGTAGGACACAGTCAGGATTTGACTTGGTGCAATGCCTTACAAATCTTTTGAATTTTTTATTTTTCACTTATTTTGATGCAATGACCACACCATTCAACGTTTTCTATTTAGAAAATCAGAGCATATGGGTTGAATTTTTTATTTTTTTACAAATTAAAATGTGAGAAATGTGGCCTCTTTTAGTCAATATGAGTTAATGTGTGTGTGTGTGTGTGTGTGTGTGTGTGTGTGTGTGTGTGTGTGGGTGTGTGTGTGTGTGTGAGATTTAATCTGAGTAATCTCAGCATAGTCGAGGACGAGGCAGACTTTGTGCAGGTCTTTATAAAACTGAATATCTCCTAGAACGTCCAAGAACGACACAAGTTCGTCCGACGCAGACGGTTGATGCAGATGGAGACTTTTTTTTACTTTTAATCAAGGTAAAATTATCATTTTCTCACAATGGAAAAGGTTGAGTACAACATTATAAGAAGAAACGTCTATCCAGAGACTTTTACCGAAAAGCCAACTTTGCTGCATCCAAATCAGCTTTTATTTAATTTATTTAACTTAGCTAAACATTACGAAAGAAAGAGACCCGAATCCTGTTCTGATAATTGAGACTAAATATATTCTAAAGAGTACAAAGAAATGGAAAATTATATGCTTTTTTTCTTACTCCAGGAAATACGCAAAATCCTTTCAAGTTTTTAATCTATGACAAACAACATCCATTACGTACAAATAAATTAATACGTAAAATAACTGCAATATTTGCCTTATTTTCTAGGCCCACAAGTAGTTTTTACTCTACGATTTTGATCCAGGTGACATAAACTTTGGACATTCTCGGTTTAGATCAAACCATATTTACATGTTTAAAATGGCCCAGTCAAAGTCAAGACCAGAATCCAAATGAGAACTGACATCAAGAGTGATTGAATTTAACTCGACTATTTGTGAAACTCGAGCTCGAGTCGCTGCAAGTCTCCGGATCTCTTATCATTGTCTGTTTTGTTGTGACACCAAAACAAAAACAGAAAAGTCAAAAGCATAAAATTATATGAAAATATTGTTTTCTTATCGCAGCAAAGCATTCAGACACGGCTGCACTCTTCACTTCACGTTTGCAGCTGCCTTTCCCCTCTCAGCTGTCACACATCAAGTAAACCCAGACAAATGAATAATAGAAGCCGCATGTTGAACCCGCAGACGCTTAATATCCTGAAGGCGATGTTTTGTGATCTGCAGAGGTAGCCACTGTTTAAACGGCACAATCTGAAATTGTAAGGCCAGTGTTTGCTCATGCTGGCGCCATTGTTAATTTTTTTTTTTTTTTATTAAATAAGATTTTCTGCCTGAACAAAAAGAGGTACCTGTAAGGAATTGAAGAGGTCTGATCAGCAACCAGCAGACCTGAGATTTCATAAATAATCAACATGCTGGTTGTGTTGCAGTTACCCTCAGGGAGCGAGAAACATTTTAATGGCAAAACATTCAATGTGGACCTGATGAAATGACTGGTGACGATGCGCCTTTTCTTTTTGGAACATAATCAAATTGAAATCAATTATGAACAAAACATATTTTGATGTGTACTCCTCTTCAAATGCGATAGATAAGGGTTTAAAGTAATGACATGGCTTCAAAGTCAACGTAAAGTATAATATTAGTCCATATTTAGATAGATATTGGTATATTGTATTATCCATGCTTTAAAACACACGGCACCGCTCATCTATCTTGTAGCATTGCTAATATGGCCATTTCCTAAGTTGATCATGTGTTGAGCATACCTCTACCCCAACTCATCATCTCTAATACTGGCTTGTTTCCCTGTTGTAGTTTGAGGAAATTTAACATTTACTCAGTTCTTCACCGTACTCAGACACCTCATGGATGAATTAATCTATTTTATTACAATAAAGGATAACAAAGGGGGCATCAATGCACAATCTGTGAACATTTTAAATGTAAGTGAAACATGGCATGCGCTAGGTGGTGCACTGTGTAAGTGAGCAAGTTTACTATATAGGATTTGATCATAGCTGGGGGGAAAAAAAAGAAAAGAAAAAAAAATCTGTTGCTCAGTAGCGCCACTTGCGCTGGCCCAGCGGCAATACCTATCAGTCTTGTGTTATTACAGCCCTCATGACCGCGACAAAGTCAAGACAGCGATACTAACACGAGAAAGTCTGGATCTGAGCTGTCAAAATAAGACAAACTGTAGTTCACAGGTAATATAACTTAACTCAAGCCTTCATTGTTTTTTTGTACACGAGATGAACAAAACTGATTTCTATTATGCCTAACATGACATCAATAATAATAATAATAATAATAATAATAATAATAATAAGCATTATTATACAATTATTATTATTACAATACTACTACTACTCATACATTTCACTAAGTTAACTATGTAATGTTATTAACTTAAACTACAAACGTAATAACAGCAACAATACTGTTGTTATGACTAAAAGGAAAGGGTTACAATTACAATAACAGTAACAATAACAACAATGATAGTAATAATACTAATAATAATTATTTTCATTAATTCAGTTTTATTTAAATTATGCTACTGAGTTGCAACTAATCTGAGATCTTATTTATTTTTAAGAACTGTATATTTATAATGTGAAGTCTGCCATAATTTTTAGTGACTGCGTGCTTTCATTTACCTTTTTCTGCTGGTACACCTGATTTTCTCCACTGCATGACACTGTATTTTCTTCTGTTTATCTGATACTACTACTACTACTACTACTACTAATAATAATAATAATAATAATATTTTATGACTAAATTAAAGGTTCCAACACAGAGAAAAGAACAGACAAGAGTGAAGAAAATATCTTGACAAGATGCAGTGCTTTATGGGGAAAACGTGGAGGGCGTTCTAGTAAGCTAAAAGGACAAAAGACACCTTAAATATAAGACAGTAGCAGAGCGAGAGAAATTTCTTTACTTCTCTTTTATTTATTAAAAGCTTTATGTCAAAATCGTCCACTAAATGTCTCTAATGAAACTGTAAAACTGGCTTTTATTTTGGCGGAAACGTCGTTCTGTGTGCGAGGTGTCTCCGAGGACGCGCTGCTAGCTTGACGAAGCTCTGACCACGAATGAGCCAATAGGCTGTGGAAGGCAGAGTTGTCCCTGTGGCCGCCATTAAAGAAAGGAATCCATGAATTCAAATGGAAACCAACAGGAACCGAGGCTCTAATAATGATCAAAATCTCTGCTGAAACGTAGGCCGGTGCCAGATTTCGAGACGTTTCGCCAGGATGTATTTCATTTTTTGGATAAATTTAGCGATGGAGGAGTGAGACGAGGCGTTTTTGTTTTATTTTTTATTTTTTTTTTAAAGCGGAGACCGTTTTAGGGCTAAGGGGGAGGGGGAGAGTTGCTTCTTTGCTCTCCTTTTCTTTTTGTTTTATGAACATTTTTACGCTCTTTTGAACATGGTTTTACGGCGTACTTTTGGGATGTCGGCGTAGGGACGGCATTGTCTCTTTTATCCGCTTCTTTTTTTTTATTTTTTATTTTTTATTTTATCTCTGGCGGAGGAAACTGCAGTCGGAAGGTTGTTTGTTGAATTAACTCCTCCAGCCAAATGTTACAGAAAAATATTTCTCGCTGATTAGGCTTGCACAGAAAACACTCACAGAGGCTAATTGTTTTTTAATTTCCCCTGGACGTGAAAACGATGGAGAGTTGGATCTCGCAGTGAAGAAGGATGAGTTCTTGTTTCGTACCGAACGGGGCCAGCTTGGAGGATTGCCATTCCAATCTATTCTGTCTGGTAAGAGATTTAAAACTAAAGGAAAGGAGCCATTTTTAACTAGCTGAACGGGGGCTATGCTAACGTTAGCCACAGAGGCATCAGTTGATAGTAGCTTAGCCAGGCTTAAGGCCCTGTCAAAGCTGACATTAGTAGACGACAGGGTTATTTTACTTTAAATGAAAATGATTTTTAACACTTTATCAGCTGGCTTCAATGACCTGTCAGTTGGCGTTAACTTTCTGTTCAAGGGTGACTGCTCGTAAACAAAACTCTCACCCTCCTTGAAAGCTAAAGCTTGTGTTACTACATCTCATTTAACATTTAGTTTGCCACAAGGGATGGAAAACTGTGCTTTTTATGCCCCCCCCCTTTTTCGTACTACTACAAACCTCGCAGTAATGATGTCGTTGCACTTTCTCCCGTTCGCCTCGGCGCCTTGTTTATTATTAACCTGCTACTATCTGGTTTTCGTCGCATTTCCACTATGTTTTATCAAGCGGGGAGCCGCAATCCAAACACTTGATGCACTTCGCTGAGCAGCTTTGAGTTGGAAACTGCCAGACCTTTGAACAGTCGCTGCTAGATAGGGCTACTGTTTATGTTTAATGCTGACACCTCCCGAATGAACTAGCGGGTGTCACTGCACAGCTTGTCCAGACAAGCCCGCCCTCTCTTTAAAAGCCTCCTCTTCTGTTTTTTTTTTTTTTTCCTCGAAAGTTTTTCACGCTTTATGTTATTGTAAAACAAAAACAACATTAAACATAGTAGACGTAGTTATTGTTGCTTATGTTTTTTTGGTAGTGCCTTAGTCTGCTTGGACTTCATATTCTGGTATCAGCACCAACTAGGACACAGGCTGATTATATAATGGTTGGCATTCAAAACCCCGGGCAATACAAAAAAAAAAACCAAAAAAAAAAAAAAGGAAGGGAAAAAGGTATCAGCATGCCTCTCTGTTGAAATGAAACTTATCCCGCCTTTCATCTGGATGTTTCTTTATGTGATCGTGTTGCCAGTTGTGGCTGCTTAACATCACCCTAAATAGCTGCGGTCGGAGATCTCCGATATTATTTAAGTCCCATTTGAGACAAACAGTGCATTAGGAGCCACAGCCTGCCTGCTCCATATTCTTGGCCACAGCAGCAAACCTAGTGGGCCTGTTTACAGTCCGTCCTCTGGCCAGATGCTCAGGAAAACAGTGGGGAGGGGGAGCGTGTGTGTTGTTGCAGTTAATTGGCTTGTCAACAGGTTTAACTGTAGCTGGTTATGGTGCCGAAGTTTTAAAAAGGGTTAAAGTTGGGGGGGGGGGATAAAGAAAATGGCTGTCAGTTTCCACTGTTGTATTTTAAAGTGCAGGTGCAACAGTCAGTCTCCAACAGATGAGAATCTGCATTATTATATGCATAAAAATGTAAGTTCTCCCATAATTTCTTTAGTCTATGCATGGGTTTTTTTTTTTCAGTTAATTGAAAATCAGATGATGATACGGTATGTTGTCTTCCAAGAATTGGGATAATCTTGTAATTCATGTTCTGCTGAATCAAAAACACCAAACCAGCTGCAGATTTAATTTTTTTTTTAAGGAAAGCAGGCCTGCGAGAAAATCCGATTCAACCACGGAAAACCTGATTGCTACGCTTTTTAGTATGAAGTTCTTTTGATGAAAAGCCAGCTGAAAGCGTCAGGAGTTTGTGTAAAGCAGAGTCGTGAACACCTGCTGCGCCCTGCCGGTCAGCTGGCTTGCGGCAGATATGACTAGGAAATGTTTCAGGTCAGACACCTGGCCTCCAAACTAAAGGAGCGCTGCAAAATTTAACAATTTTCTACACTTCTAGCAGGCGCTTGTTTCATTTTTGTTTTGTGTTCAGATCAAAACGGAACAAATGAAGGGTTATATATTATTATAAATGTAACAGCAGATGCTATTTTAGCAGCAGTATGAATAATTTTTGCTTTTCTGTTTCATATTTTTGTTGTAAACGCTGCGACACTATCTCAATATTATGAGAAACTCGTACCTTTGCGGTAGCCGGTCAGTTTAATGTCCGCAACTTTAACATTTCATGTACAATTTCATTGGAAAATAAAGTGATTGAATGCTGCAGGAGGGGAAAAAAGTAAGTTTTTTCTTTCTGTTGCAGTCCCTCTCTTGTGCTGTGCAAACTGCACAGATTACATATGCAGAGCTCTGCCAGCGAAACCCAAAAGGGGGGGGGGGTTAGACTTGAGCAGGGAAATGCCTCATTACTAATGCTGACATTAAACTCATTCTAATAACAACATGGCCCGAAACGCCACCCTGCGTTTAGCCGCTTCCGAAGCCCTCCGCCCTCCTAAAGGTAACATTTCCCTGCAGAAAATTCCCACTCTCTCTCCCCTCAGCACCGCTCCCGCTGGCTCCGGACCGCGCCGCGCCGAACTCGTAATTATATTGTTTACGACCTCGCTTGAAGGCAGGGTTGGCTACGACGCGACGGACACGACGGAGGCTGGTCGTCGTCGGCGGTGCCGTGCCCGGCTGGCTAACGTTTTTTTTTTTTTTCTTTTTTCCTCTCTCTTTCTCTTTCACTGCATGCTGAGACTAAGCATAACACCACTGCTGTTATGACTCACTTGCTCAACATAGTCCACTTTGTGGTTTTATGGCAAAAAGAATGTGAACACATTGTGGTAGTTTACTCCCCCCACTCCCCTCTGTTCTTCGGTGGATGGCATGATGCTGTTGGTGCAATAATATTCTTAATATTGCAAGTAAGACCATGAGAACTCTGTCCTCGGGTGTACCTGTGAGACCTTTAGCAGCTTTCTTCTACATTTAATTGATTGAAATCGTCGTCGAGTACGGGAATGAATTTGTATCACTTTCGAAAAGAAAAATGCCAGAGCACCTGCTAGTTTCAGGTTCGCTTCAAAACAGGCTCACTCGGTTTGGAAAGGTAAATTGGCAGGAAGAAGAAACTTGGTAGGAGAAGGAGCATCTGTGACTTGATTTGAGCAGCCTCACCTGTTGTCTCGCATCTTGAAAAGGCAGCTGCTCGAACACAGTGTTCCCTATTCAGACCCAGAACCCGAAGTTGCCAGAGGGGAAGGTAAGCTAGCTGGCAGAGTACTAGAGGTCGCGACCCTGCCGAGTTATAAAGTGTGCGTCACCTCAGGAAAACGTCTCCCCTCTCTCTATCCAGCGGCTTCGGCTTTGCAATCCCAGCTAATGCGCCGGTGTGATTCCTGGGCTCTGGCGTTATGAAATCTAAAACTCCCCATGACTGGCGCTGGCCACGCCGCCCGGGACGCTTCTCCCAAGCAGTTGCTCCGCATACCTGAGTATTTAGTAAGAAGCGAGCAGGAAGGAACGCCGTGTTGATTCGCAGGGCTGGAAATGTCTGAGGTACACTCATGCGCACAGCCTGGGAAGCAGGGCTGTTGGAAGGAAATACTCAGGAATCTTTGGCACTCTATATATTTTTCTTTTTTTCTTTTTTTTTACACGCAGTCTGTAACTAATTTATTTAGAAAGTACAAACAGCGCAACTGCAGACGGCAAAGCTATCTTTGGGTGCAGAGTTGTGGCATGCTGTTTTTCTCGTTTCGATCTCAGGGGGATTTAAGGACACTTTGATCTAGAATTTGTGGGGGGTTTTTTTTCTTCTTGTGCATAAAATTGGAGGAAACTCAGCTGTAACATCTAAAAGCAATAGGTTGACTTAAATAGAGATGCACCAAGCAGACTACAGTTTGTAAACCTTTGACCTATCGGTGGGCGAGATGGACTTTAAAGTTTTCATCACGATATTTCGTGGTACTATTGTGATGACAATAAAAGTGAAAAGAACAATTTATCACGTCTTTTTTAGGTAACTTTCTGTAAGAATGTGACTTCACGACACGTATATCAACTCCACAATATGCTGCTTTTGAAAGAAATTGTAACGCACCTCTTTTGGACAGCAGTCGTGTAAATAAGAGTTCTCAATAATTGCATTCATTATTTGGACTGTATCGTGACGATAAATCACAATTCTTAAGAAATTTATCACGATAAATGATAAACGATAAACGATACCATAAATGTTCATCCTTATTTTGACCAATTCTAGTTTCTCTTTAAAAATATAAAATACAGCATTATGAAGCAGGTTTTCTAGCCTCCCTAACTGAGTAATTATATTTATGTTTGGAAAAGAGATGTCGCACGTCTCTATGAGCGTAGAGTACTGTAAGACAAGTTTTTGCCGCTTTTTAAAACACAGTGATCGAAGTTTGTATTTTTAAATTAGCTTTTGCTTACTCTGCTAACAAACCGTAATAAATAGTAACAATGTTTGCGTACATCCTAGAGAATTTGGGTCTCAATCCGGTCTCGTCTGATCTGATCCAGAACCGGTATCCGTCTGGCCAACAGTTCAAATCCCAGCATAATCCATGATAAACGGGTCACCGATCCAAACGTTATTTACGTTGTTCAGATCGTTTCAGATCCAACATTTTAAATCAGAGTTTATCCTCACAGAAAGACAGTTTGTTGAGGTTTATTATGTATTTACTGACCTTGTGGATATAAATAGGATTTAACATATGTGGACAAATCGCAGGGGTAACAGCAATATTGGTATCGGTACATACATCCCTTTTGGATCAGGAAAAATCCTTGATCTGAGCATCTCTGCAGTCATGAATTGCAGATGATGTTATTAGAATTATGTCACTCTTGGTGACAGCATGCTGGTTCTTTTTGTTTATAACTTTTTTTTGTTTGTTTATTTGGTTGAGGCGTTGCATGCTGCGACAGTTATTCCCTCTGATGTTTGATCCTGTGCAGGTGGAAGGATTTTTGCTCCTTTTTTTTTTTTTGTGGCAACAAAGTTTATTTATTTTTTTCAACTGGGATCAGCTAATTAGCATCTCAGAAATTCAAATAATACCTGAACTATGACCCCCAAATCCAAGAGGAGCTGAAAAGGGGATGGAGGAAGTTAAAATAATCTCTTCCATCTGTCACAATGGACAAGGATCAAATCCCC